CGTTTAAATAAATAAAAATAATGCATAGTAAAGAATAATTTAACATGTAGTATAAATTAATAAATTTCAGTTAATACTAAATAGAGCTCTATCTGTAAGTATATTGTATTAAAAATGAATTGTTACCTTTATAACAGTGTGTAATAAATACATGAAAATAAATAATTATATAGTTCTTGTTAAAGTTTGAGCGCCATATGTGTGTTCCAATTCCGTGTCTAATCTTGTTGTTAACGTTTCTTCATCAGTATTGTTCCACTGGGTGTTGTTACTTAAGAGTAACTCTCTTTCAGGCAATAACATGTGCTTAATATTACCATAGTGTATGTCCAATTCTTTAAATCCATTTAATAAAAATATTGCAATTATAACAGTGAAGAAACCACAGAAACAACCCAAAATGTCTTCACTTTTCATATTTTCCCATTCTCTAAATAATATGGCAGATGCAATTATTACTAATGTTGTAAAGAATACATAGTAAATTGGTGTAACCATCGTAGTTTCAAATAAATCTAACGATCTATTCAAATAATTCATTTGCACGCTAATGCAAAGTATTAGACTAAATAGAAAGACCCATGTTAACCAGTTTGTGAATCCATTACTAAATCCAGTAATAGTTTCTTTTAAAGCTAGCCCTAATCCTTTACAGCTCATAACAGTTAGCGAACCAACGGATGAACACAAAGAAATATATACGATAATATTTTGATTTCCATAAAGAGGTCCAAAATAAAAAATTGTTAGAAAGCTGTATAGTGTTACAATTAAAATATAGATACTATAACCTGGATCTTTTACTCTATCTACTAATTCCTTTAATGTAATAATTTCATCTTCTTTGGGACAATGGATTACGAGCATCGTAGAACCTAAGATGCATAAAAAACAACCGATCTGAAAGAAAAATACTTACATGTATCTTTATACAATGAATATTCTATGATATCGTGTGTTACCTTTCCGAGCAAATTGAGCTTTTCATTTAAATACTTTGACGCTAATGCTGCAGATATTAGAACACTGAGTGCTCCTAAAGGCGTAACCAAAGAAGCTGGTGCAAAAGCATATGCAGCAAAATTGGCTGCTTCACCTACTCCCACTTTAACACGAGAACACATTCTTATGAAATATCTCTTTTCATGCAATTATACTAGGGAATCATTTTCCACTTACTTGACAGGAGACCAGCCCACCACATCCATTCTCTTAGATATCCAAATCCTCCGGACGAAGCTCGCACTGCACCGCGTCTTTGAAGATGAATTAATGCTTTCTTTTTTATAATAAAACTAGCTCCTATGTAATCATCGAAATATAACAAAATCATAATAAACATCCTCATGTTTCTTATTTGTTGGAAATGTAATGATCTCACTAACCTATAAAAACGCTGGAACTAATTACGAGTCCTAAACCTATGTAAAAATCTGTTTTATCATATAATTTTGAATCAACCACAATTTCTGTTGAACTACTCATTTTTCGATATTATCAATTTTCAGGCTAACGCTTAAAGTTGAAAGTTAAAGTGCAACTTATTTTCCTGCAATTGCAAATGTAAAATATTATGATACTGCTATAGTATATCGAAACAATGTAGGATTATTCTTTTTACTTCGCGAAATTTGGGAGGCTTAACGAGACAATCGGGAATTTAGGGGTTATTTCGTCTTCATTTTCATTGACTTATCGACTATTAACCACACGATATGTTCATCGTGCAACTTGCACACGAGATAAGCTCCGAGGCCGTTACACAAGCCAGAGAGACCAGAGGAGCACAAGTCTCTCGATGTATCGTGTTTATAGTTTTAATTGATTACAGTTACGTGTAATCGCATTGATAAATAGTAAATTAGAATTGCAAATGATATTAGAACGGATAAAAACTGATCGATTAGATCCGCATTCCTTCCAGAGATCAACTTCTGTGCAACGCTGTTTATTAACGCTATTCGTTATTTATTAATAATTATTTATTATTATATATTATGTATTTTTCTTTGAAGGCTGCTGAATTACACCATGAAACAATAAAGATAGGAATGAGACGTTAAAAGAGCCGCACGAATGTGAAATTAGCAAAGACAATACTCTTATTAATATTTCTACTACTTATAACACTTGAGTACTTTATTGGTTGGAAAAGTACAAAAGGTTTATTCAATTTTCAATTTCTAATTTCTAATTTCTAACTTCTAATTTCTAATTTTTAAATATGGTACAAATCATAAAATACACATCCAAGAATAAACAAGAATACTGGTTTAATGCGATCGTACAATTTATATTTTTTATGGTAATATGTATAGTATAAAAGTATAAAATGAATTTATATTTTTATTTACCAACAATTTTGCTTATCTGTAAGCAACATTTTCAATATTTTTTGACAAATCAATCTCATAGTGTGTGTAGGAACTATAGATGCGTATAAAATACAAAGTATGTGATCACTGTGTTTAACAGCATGACATTTATGATATTCTGAACACAGATATATTTCTTTTGTACTGGTAAACTTCCAATTGTCCTTCTTTGTATTATCTTCAGATATTGGAAATAATATAAACGTTTCAACAGCTTGATGGTAAAATGTTTTTAGTATGTCTAATCTGTGTGATCCACTAATTCTAGTTTTAGCATACTGATCATTTTTACAGAGTATAAATTTTTGCACTTTATAATTTACTAGAAGAAACCTGAAAGAAACAGAGAAAAATATATATAATACAATCGCTATTCCTTGATAAATGTTCCTCTATAAAATTATACATGCATAATAATTCAAAATAGTACCCAAGTGCTTCCGAATCAAAATTGATTGACACAGGTAAATTCCTTGGATAGCACAATTCAGCGCTGTTCAAAGTATCAAGAATATTTTTCCAACACTGTACAGCCAGTCTCTCTACCTCTGATAATTCTGGATTTGGTCCACATAATGCTAATACTTCGATATGATTGATTAATGTAACAGATACTAATCGGAAAGCCACCTGTATTATCTGATATGTTACATCCACAACTTCTTGTTTTAATAAAGTAGCTTTTATAAAGTTCGTTTACAAGAGTACTTACATTAGGGCTTTTGTAAGGTAAAAATACTGGGATATCGCGTGTTGTACAAACGCCTTCAACGGTGACAACTGTTATCAATAACTTCCTTTCTATAGGATTCAAGCTCCACCATCCTTCTGTAGCAACTGCTAAGCAGCCATGTATTAAAATACAACCATATATGGAATCTAAACATTCCATGTAGCTTTCTAAACAAGTCTTAAATACATTGTTTATTTAATATACAAAAAGTTTAGCATATTATATAAAATTTTTATTACCTGCAGTAAATTATTTTCAAGGCACATAATGCACTCTGTCATATTGATGATATCGGTTTTTAAAGAAATTCCATCTCCCACGTCAAGGCACTGTAATAAATTATCGACAAGTGGACTGCAAGAACGCACGTCTTTCTTAAGTTTTTCTATATTCTTTGCACTCTTTAATTCATCGATGCCAACAAACAAAATCATTGCACCAAAAACAGCATCAAGAAATTGGTTTAGAACATATTTTGTGGTCCCATTCGCGATGACTATCAAAGTAATGCTTTGATCAAATTCTTTCCACATGACGGTAGTATCTGGTAAATCTGTGTATAGCAATTTAATGTCTTGTGATTTAAGGAACATGTGGATACCGTTCAGTGAAGCTATTTTAGAAAAGGTCATCTGAAAAATACAAAACGATATTTACAAGGAATTATTCTAGAAAGTTTCACGAGGACATTTCTATATATAATGCAGTTTACCGTATCTCCTTCTCCTTTCTGTCGAGAGAATAATGGAATTCCTCCGGAAGATGTTAAACACATAACGTGAGCTACCATAATGTAACAATGACTTTGTTTTATCTCATTCAAATACCTGATAGTGCGTATATAATGTCATATATAAAGTACATTCATTGTCAGTATAGAAGAACATTATTGTTTAGTATTATTATTCTTCTTTCAGAATATAAAACACCTAATTTTATTTTATTGTTTGGCTTTTACATGAAAGTAATATAAACTAATGGATAGGTTGCCTTATTTCATATACTAAAATTAAAATTGAGTAAGTTTTTTACCTTTTTATTTGAATATTCGGAATTGGTATTTCAATTTTTATTTTATTATAACATGAATATAAAATAATAATTAATTTTTTATTTCAATAAATGCATTTACAATTATTTTAGTGAATCGTTTCATAACCTGTACTCTAATATCTGTATATAAATTTTTGCTGAAACATAAACTTCTAACCAAATTTTGATTCAATAATGGACAACTTTTTTAGTGTTTTGTTGTTTAAATAGAATCGAATAGTATACATAGATAGCGCAAAGAGCAACAAGCAATGGTCGGTGATAGGAACAAATACCTATTTTATTGATTCCTCAAAGACTTATTAATTTGTCCTTTTTCTGATTTATTTTTGTTAAGATTTGAATTTTATACAGGTAAAGAAACTCTTTATGCTAAGTTCGACATGGTTTCATCGAATATAATCATATCGTCGAGGATCAAAACTCTGAGAGGTTCGCAATAGTAGGTACTATTAATTTACCATTGCCTACTGTACATGGTATATGTCGTACGTTGTGTAGGTTGTATGTTGTATGTTGTATGTTGTATGTTGTATGGTGTATGGTGTATGGTGTATGGTGTATGGTGTATGGTGTATTGTGTATTGTGTATTGTATATTGTGTATTATGTATTGTGTATTGTGTATTGTGTATTGTGTATTGTGTATTGTGTATGATATATGTTGTATGTTGTATATTGCATGTTGCATGTTGCATGTTGCATGTTGCATGTTGCATGTTGTATGTTAAATATTATATGTTGTACATTAGATGTCATATGTTGTACACGAGACTATACAACATTAAACACGAGATACCAATCAAAGTGTTTACTTAAGCTAGGGAATGTCTAAAGTTGAGAATTGTGTTATGTGCAGTAGATAATTTTTCCGAAAACATAATTTACGGGTGAAATTTCAAAAATGACTTAACATAGACATCGATTTTTCCTGTTTACCGTTTACCGTTGTTCAATTGAATTTCGATAGATTTATGTTTAATTTATGTCTATTTAGATTCTCAACACCGTCAACTTTAATAATTGAATGGATTTGGAAAATCACTCGTTAGGTGAAATTATTTGAATGGTAGAAAGGATAAAGAAATGAAAAATATATTTCTGTCGGACAGTTAGTTTCTGAAATTAGTGTTGGTGCGTTTTTGCCCTTTTTTTTAGTTTGGTTGTTCAAAAAGAATTGTTTTGACACGACTAAATTCTTATAATCACGGAATAAATAAAGATGATGGGTGTTCAACAGAAAATTATTAACGTGAAAATGTAACGTTAAAATAAAATGAAGCTTGACCCAACGTTGGCAATAAATGAAGAATAAAACAGTTTCATTGACAGGAGAATAAAATAATTAGTAGAATGTTAAAATGAATTTGGCATGAAGAACTAGTTTGAAATTATTAAAGAAATGTTTGAATGGGCAATCTTTTCAATGTATCTTTTTGGAAATGATCTTTTACCTTTCTCAACAAATTACAAGCATTATTTATAAAAAAAAATTCTAACATCAATTATGTAGACGAATTTGTTTTTTCACGCACAAGCTCTGTGTACACCGTAAATTACGAAAAAGAGTGTCAAGTCGGTGTAGGAATGTGGCACTTCAAAATGGCTGCCAGTTACTTTAGTAATTTACGGCTGTATCTTTCTTTGTTGTTGCTGATGTAATTAAGACTGTGTATCGAAATATCGTAGAATTGATTTTAAGGAGAAATAGTGAAGTAAACGTTTTATATACACATTACCCTCATCACATGGATTCTGTGGAAACGTGAGAATAGAATATGCTCTGAAGTCGTTCTCTCTCCCGATTGTTGCATCGATCGAACTTATTTCAAGAGATTTCTTCACGAATGTTTTGCTGTTTGCCAAGAAAGTGTGTTAACGTAACTTATTCTACATTTTAAAAAATACTTTGGATCGAGTAGATACGTGTCTAACGAATAGGTTAGATTACAGATCGATCTTAATATTATGCACAGAGATACAGAGAAACGTTTGTGAGACTACGTACGAGTGTATTTTATTCGATAGTAAATGCTGCCAAATTATATATACATATACGTTTACGTTTACGTATGCATGTACATACACGTACACGGATAGATGCGCATATACATACACGTACACGTACACATACCAGCACGCGCTCGCGCGCGTGTGCGTGCGTACCTAGTATGTATACATATATTTCTATGTGCATGTGAATGTGTATGTGCAGGTATATATGCATAGGCATATATGTGTGCGCATGTGTATATTATGTATATATACATGTGGGCGTTTGTGCGTGTACGTGTGTGTACGTGTGTGCGTGCATACGCACATGTATATATGTACATATAATTATGGATAAACCGATGAAGCTTGTGCAATGGTTAAAACCTTTAAAATAATTAATAAGCTATTTCGGTGCTCACCGACATTGAAATTAATATAATTTTCATAGTGTATCCAATTGCAAGTACTTGGATCGAATATAGTATTACTATTAGCAATGTTCACTGACATTTGTGATAGAAATCGATACATTTGTCGTGCAAGACGTATCGTTCAACCATTGAAAAGATACTGTGCAAAGACTCGTTAACATCAAGCTGGTTCAGTAAGCATTCTGTTTTTACATTTCATCGTAATTCTTGTACAGAGACCTCTTTATTCCGATTGTAATTCTATTAATATAATTATAGAAATAAAATCGTATGTTGCTAATATCTGTTATCGCTAAGTAAACTGAAACTATTTCTGTGGTTAGAGCAACAAATTTTATTGGGACAAGTAATGACTGTGAACAATCGATTACGAAGCATGTTAAGAATTTACCGTAGGATCGTTGTATTGCTCTAAGAATATGTCATAATATTATGTTTTAGATGTATGTATGCGCGCTTGTGTGTGTATATATATATATACATATATATGTCACAGCCAGATTAAAGCTAGGTCTTAAAGGGCCTAGCATGGGTCACTATGAATCCACCCGCGGTTAGTAAATCGAGCACACGTGGCTCTGGATATCATCAGAAGGCATTGGCTGAAATTCGTAATTCGTTGTTACCCTTTGCAAATATTGGAGGAGCAAGCGAAGTAGGTTCCAGTGCTGCAAGTACTATATCTACTTTATCTACGACAAGCGGCATTAGTTCTGCCTCTGGGCTTAGCGGACTCTCCGGAGCTTCTGGTTCTAACATTGATAAATCGGATCAACGACAATTATTGGCACAATTATTAGCGATGGGATATTCCGAGGTACGTAACGAAAATGTAGTAAATCAAAGGCTTTCTTTTCCTACGAATATATATATATATATATATCCGCGAAGAAAGAAACACCACGGAGAACTGACAGGTCGAATTTTCAATTACACAGGAAATAGCATTACGCGCTCTGAAGTTGGGTGGCTGGCGCTTGGATGCAGCCATAGAATTTTTGAAACAAGCACAAGGAGAATCTCTGAACGGACTCAGTAAATTAAATACGAAGCTTATAAGGAAACCCAGCCTGGAAAGGGAATTGAATTTGCAACGCGGCAGTCCTGCGTTGGACAGTGGAGCTGGAAGCTCGCGTTCCGATAGTCCTCGCTTGACGGAGCTCAGTCCGCATCCGCAATTGAGCCGTCAATACTCTCCAAGTAATTTTGTAGAACGAGAACCGCCGCCTCCTCCGCCTCCCAGATGCAGTTCAACGCCACCGCCACCGCCACCGCCACACGTTCCGTACAATCAGCCAAATGTACCGACTAACATGCAACAAATGCTGAAGCGTATGTCTCCTGCTCCGGTGGTTCCTACGCGGCCACCTCCCACTACGCCTGGCAATACCGGACCCATTTCGACGTCGACATCGGTCAGTCTACCGCAACGAGGTACGAGCCCGGTAGCGAGTTCGAATAACAATTCGAATCGTCAACCGATGATTGTCCAGAACGGACCGCAAGTTCAGCAACAGCTTTCCCAGCAGATACAGGCTCTCAGTATATACCAGACGGGTAGTAACAGTTCGAGCACTCAAGTCGAACCACCACCTCCGTATCCTATAGTGTCTTCTTCGTCGGCTGGACCGGTGCAACCACCATCTTACAGTGTCTCTATACAGAACAGACAGAGTCCGACGCAATCTCAACAGGACTATCGGAAAAGCCCGTCCTCCGGAATTTACTCCGGGCCAACGTCGGCCGGCTCGCCCAGTCCTATTACCGTTTCCGCTATGTCGCCGAACGCGCAATCCTCTATGGCCAGACCGACCCCGTTGCAGGCTTGGGGCGCGCGACAGGCGAAGACGCAGCCACCGATAATCATGCAGTCCGTGAAGAGTACTCAAGTACAAAAACCCGTGTTGCAAACCGCTATTGCTCCGACGTCGCCGCAGCCTATCTCCACCACTAGCAATACACCTCCTCCTCCGCCG